TACGTGGTAATACACCAAGTTAATCATTCATCTACGTGGTAATACACCAAGTTAATCATTCATCTACGTGGTAATACACCAAGTTAATCATTCATCTACGTGGTAATACACCAAGTTAATCATTCATCTACATGGTAATACACTAAGTTAATCATTCATCTACATGGTAATACACCAAGTTAATCATTCATCTACGTGGTAATACACCAAGTTAATCATTCATCTACGTGGTAATTCACTAAGTTAATCATTCATCTACGTGGTAATACACTAAGTTAATCATTCATCTACGTGGTAAAACACCAAGTTAATCATTTATCTACGTGGTAATACACTAAGTTAATCATTCATCTACGTGGTAATACACTAAGTTCATCATTCATCTACGTGGTAATACACTAAGTTAATCATTCATATTCACATAAATCTTCATCATCGCTAGAATTGTCACTACCATCAGATTTGTTACCTTGAACTTTTACTTCAACCTCTTCTGACTCCCACAGCATGACATCATCCGTCTCATCCATTACATTGGATATGCAATATTTTTTGAAACTTTTAATGATGCTTTAATCGTTTTTGGTGGTAACTTCTAGTAAAATACCCAACAAAATTGAACTTGTACAGTCCATATTTGGAGGAGGAAAAAAAGTGAGCCTTACATTCAGCCAAATAAAGTAAATTGATTTAGCTCTAGCTGCCATTGTTCCTTTATTATTCTCACATAGATAACATCTGTCCTGCCAGTGAAGGATATTGTTACAATACTACACATTGTCCATCAATGGCAGGTTAGGTGAAATCATGAGGTTACAACCTCCCAACAGTGACATATGTGGTGCAACCTTCCTGAGAAAATATTGTTATAGAATCTGGTATGTAATAAATACTGTGATCTCTTGGTTAGCTCTCTCAGGCTGAGCTCAAGCGCTCATTTTGATAAGCTAAATTTCAGTCCTTTCTTTGTAAATAGTAATACTCTCCTACAATTCAAAGTAATGTAGACAAAAAGATTTAGATTACTTGTTGAGTTGGGTGAATAAATGGCAGATGACTTTTAAATAAAATAAATGCAAGATAATGCATGTGGGATATCCATTTTGAATTAGGAGTATAATTTTGATGGGAACAACCTTAACAGTGTTGTGGAAGAAAAACATCTTGGTGTTCTGGTTAATCAGTCTCTAAAGCCATCCAAGCAGTGAGCTGTTGCTAGTGGTAGGTCAAACAGAGTTTTAGGTTGTATCTACAGATATACAGAATAAAAGTCTAAAGAGGTTATAATGTCATTGTATAGGTCACTGGTTAGGCCACATTTAGAGTACTGTGTTCAGTCTTTAGCTCATTACCTTAGAAAGGGAATTGAATTGTTGAAAAGGGTTCAAAGGAAGGTTAGTAGCATGATGCCTAAGATGTATAGGTTGTCATATGAAAATAGAATAAGATCTCTGAACATTTCTCTTGAAAAAAGAAGAGTTAGAGGGGATCTGATTGAGGTTTTTAAGATTGTTAAGGGAATTAATAGTGTTGAAGTATTATCTTTTTTCGTATTTAATGGTGAAAATGATAAGACTAGAGACACAAATATAAATGTTTGCAGAGTAGAAGCCATATTCAGCTGAGACAGTTTTATTGTTAAAAAAAGGGGTGGTTGGCCTATGGAATGGGTTGCCTTCAGATGTGGTGGATGCAATAAATTTAAGGAAAAACTTGATAAAAATTTGAATGATAAGGGCTGGCATTGAATTTTATAGTGTTTAGTTTAATTTAGTGGATGGGACAGCCTAGATGGACCAAAAAGTCCCTCATTGTCTTTTAGTGTTATGTTATACGCATAAAATGTTAAATGCATTTGTTGAAAAAAACCTACATTAGCTGGGATACTGTTCTCATTTGTTTTTGCCATTTTAAAACTGTCTAAAGTGTAATGGTTCAGAAAACAAGCAACAGTAAATAATATATTTCAAATGAAATTCCTGTTTGGAAGAACATTTGATGTTTTCTTCAAAAATTTCTTAATGGCTTAATTTGACTTGTTATTTCAATCCATATCTGTTTTGCTGAATACTGTCTCTCCCAGGTAACCCTGAAACTTGGCTGAAACAAAACTTGGGTATTAACCTCATACTAGTGATGGGCTAGAATAGAAGTTTCAGCAAAAACAAAATGAATTCAGCATTAAGTGCCATTTGTAGGAAAGAAATCTGATAATAAGCTACTGAATATTCAAGTGGTAACCAACTTGTTACCAAATGCAAGTTAAAACTATGCGGGTTCTGAAGTGGAATTGCCACTTTGTTACAGTATTGTGCAAATTTAATCAAACACCATATTGCTGCTGTAGTTTTGATTTGTTGTGCCTATGAAATAAAACCAGCGTAGTTTAAAATGTTGGAAAAATTCATCGAAAAAAGGAATTCTGGTTTTACTGGACTCCATACTTGACAAAAGTACCTACTGTACTAAAGAAAGCCTCTGCACACAGCTCCAAGAAAAATAAAATCAAATTACACCAGAAAATACATAAACACAATCACAAAGATTGCCAAGCTGTTACTGATGCCAAAGGTGGCCACACTAAATATTAGTATTGTAGAAACTTAGACATTATTGGCATCCTAATTTTGTAATAGTTTCATATAAGATTAATTTGCGATAATTACAAGTTGGTTTCTATAGCAAACCCACGACTATTTCTACTTGTAAAGTTATAAAATGACAATTGTTAAGGTGTTCTACTTGCACAAAATATCAGCTGCATCTAACTTCTACCTACCTTCCATTTCTGAGCTTCTGCTGCAGCTATCGCTTCAACTTCTGCTGGATTTTGGACCACATGACCAAACTTTCCTGTGAAGTCCATTGCTACCTGAGTTTTATGACAGAGGTAATCCTAAGAAACAAAACTGTTACTTCTTATATTGATAACAACAAATGGTTCAATTTCCTATACTCTGAATATTAAGGTTATGTATCCATGATTATTTTTTTAAAAGAAAGGTGTTATCATACACAGAAGATCATATATATATTTCAAACATAAATGTAAGTACAGATATATTACAAATCACAATGGTCTCAATACTAACCATACTTTTGAAAGTCTTCAAAATATTTCTATGATAAAAGTTGCAGTGACACAAAATTAAAAATTTTTTTACAATCTTGCATTATGCTTAAAACACAGGAATGAGACAAAGATTTAATGAAATAGATCGGATATGATGATAGCCGTGGAACATCCTACTAATATAACTGAATATTCTAACTTCATAAAATCACTAATTAACAATTATTACTCAACCATTAACCTGTTAATACAACACTCACTATTATAGGGTGAACTGCTCAATAAGAGCAAACCAGTTTTTGGGTGCAAAATGCTTTCTTTATAAAACACCACTGAAATTTCAAGGCTATAGGTACTTTACAGTAATTACAGTATACATGTCCAAGTGACAGAATTAAAAGTTTTATGCGATATTTTAAAAGATAGGTTCATAGATCTATTGCAAAATATTAGTATTATAACAGACTATAAACTACGAACATCACCACAATAAGATGCCATACAACTCGGCTTACCTAAAAACAACATTTAATACATGATACCTACAGTAAAAATAGACGATACAAAATGGTAAAAATAAATAAAAATAGACA